AGAGAGAGAGAGAGAGATGTAGTTTTGAGAGAGATAGGGATAGAGTCATTTTATAAAATGATTAGGTCAATAATGTATGGTCAAAGGGGTCTAGGGGGTAGGAAGATCGAAAATTTAAATTCTTGGGTCTTTTGAGAAATGGAAGCCAAAAATAGGGGGTAAAGATATATTTTCTCTAATAACTATCTTTTATATATTATTCTATGATTTTGTTACTTTGCATGAGCATTTAATTGCTTTTATCCATGACTATCTCACAAGTTTGGTTAATATCTGTTTGAATACTTAAAAATACATGTTATACAATGGCTCGAGTTGCCTGGGCCTTGTATGGAGTCGAGTCTAGATTGAGTTTAATTTTGACTTAGCTTTGTCATTGATATGACTATGTACACTAGATCAAGTCTATAGACTGTGGATTCTATACTTGTAGGGCTATAAATTTTCTCAATGAAGCTTTTCCTTTCAAATTGTTTTTTGAGAATGAGCTTTTCCTTTCAAATTTGGTGGCTTATGAGGCCCTTTATGGTTAAATTTGGCAACTTTTATTCCCTTTTCTTGAAGACTTGAATTAAATTTTGTTTCTCTTTGAAAGCATGAATTTAATGGGATTCCCATTAGAAGTGCTGGATTCCCATTAGAAGTGCTGGATCAAACCTAATTCTTGACAATGGAATTGTTATTATACGAGTTGCACTTAAAAGAAAATCAAAACAATAGTATTTTTTTTTCCAAAAAGTCAAATATTGTCTTTTTTTTTAACCTTATATTTTTTTTTTCTTCTCTCTCTCTCTCTCTTTGATTTGTATACTTGTTAAAGTAAGTACAAGTACTTTGTTTTTGTTGAGTTATCAGAGGGAGCTAATCAGGGCCCCTAGGTTAGGTATCAAATTTGGGTGCCTAGTGTCCTTTTCTCCTTTATAATTCACATGATATTAACAATAAAACTAATAAATTTACTTGATTCACAATTTCATGCAAACACACATGTATGGGATTTGTTGAAATGTATCATCATCATCACCGTCATCAAAGCTTTTTCGCAACTGATTAGGGTCGGCTACATAAATCCTGGTCCACCATTCTGCTCTATTAAGGGCTATACCCTTAGTGAGGCCATAAGTTCCCATATCTTTTTTCACTACTTCCAGTTTTTTACTACTTCCAGCTATGTCCTTTTAGGCCTACCATTTGTCCTTTTTGAGCTTTCCACTTGAACTAACTCGCACATCTTAAATAGGTGCTTATTGGGTCGTGCCATACGTGGCTAACCAACCGAAGTCTAATTTCTCTTACCAACCGAAGTCTAATTTCTCTTATCTTATTGTCTATTGGTGCCACACCTAAATTCTCCCGAATGTATTGCTGAAATGCATAAGATCATTAAATATGAGGAAATTACTCGCATATCCCCAAATTTTCCATTATTTTAAAATTTCCCGACTTTTTTGATTATTACATTCATACCTTTTTATTTTTTTTATTTTTAACGTTAACCGTTAGTAGTGGGTGAGTAATTTTTGAAACCGTTAGTAGGTTTTGAAATGGGTTAGCGTTGGTGGGACTAGAAACCGAGACTAGTAGCTGAGTCACAAGTGGTGCTACCACCTTGACCTCAACCCATTCACACCCATTTTTTTCGAAGTGTTTTTTTGAAGTAGTAATATACAAAACTTAAAACTTCGAACCTTGAAGGTCCATTTTTTTTTTTAAACCTCGGACCTTTCAAAATTTGTTAGTTCGTTTCTAAGTTTTAACTATTCTACAAAAGTTAAATTTCGAGGTGCAGTTTTGCCATTCGGAAAAAAAGTGAAAAAAGTGGGAATGAACGTAATTACAGAATTTTGTGGGAATTCTTAAATAACGGAAATTTTGGTGGAAGCACTTGTAAATTTCTCGTAAATATACCTGCTCAGCGGTGCATGCACATGTTAACATCTGGCATTTGACAATATGGAGCCGATATATTTTATGAATGGTTTTCAACATTATATCATGACTGACTTTATGTTATACTTTTTTCATTGCATTTCATGAGTAACAAAATCTATCTTTGCCACAAAATAATTTGCAGTAAAGGGTGGGGTACTGTATGTCTAATAATCTCGAGCGTTTTTAAAAAAATTCAGCCTACTATCAGCATGCGAGCAAATTTATTAGGCTTTAAGTTTGAGTGTTGTTCTCCTTGTCTTTCTCTATTCGCATGCACGTGCATTCATACATGTCCCCATGTAGACAAATCTGTATCATATCATGTACTATTTAGAGTTTTATGAGAATGTGTGTTATATTGGTAACTCTTTTGTTAGTCATTCTGAATTTTCTTTTCTCTTATTGTACCTGATCTCTTTGTTCCCTATATTTGTTTTTGCGTATTCTGAACATGCCTCATGTTTTATATGGAAATTTATCAAGTATATGCATATATTCACCTTAAAACTGCTGGATCTAATGAACTACATGGGTCTCATCAATGTCAAAATTGATCTAGGCTCTCATCACTTTCAAAGTTCTGGATTGTGAAATGTTCTGTAAACTTATTGAGTACATGTAAATCCCTACTAGTTCTAATGCAATTTTACGGAATGGGGTTTGATTCAAATCATATCTAAAACTTCGAGTTTCGGAATTGAAATGTTGTGTTTATTTTATATAATTGTTTGAAATCCTCAGTAAAGTATCATAAATCAGATTTGTGTATGTGGTTTTCTAATGCAATTTTATGGAATGGGGTTTGATTCAATCATATCTAAAACTTCAAGTTTCGGAACTGAAAAGGTGTGTTTATTTTATATAATTGTTTGAAATCCTCAGTAAAGTATCATAAATGAGATTTGTGTATGTGGTTTACTTATTTTTACATGACTTATGAATAGGATGGTCAACGGTCTGCTGAAAACTGCCCAAGGTGTGCCTCCAGGTGTTGCCACTACTTTATTGCCACCTCAGGATACTACCATGAAACTCGAAGCAATGAAGTGCCTGGTCGCTATTTTGAAATCTATGGGAGATTGGATGAACAAACAATTACGAATTCCAGACCCTCATTCTCTTAAAAAATCTGAAGTTGAGGAGAGCCATACTGAATCTGGAAATGGGATCCTTTTGGCTAATGGAAATGCAGAAGAGTCCAGTGATGGTTCAGATACTCATCCTGAATCAGCAAATGGAGTTTCAGAAGCTGCTGCTTTGGAGCAGCGCCGGGCGTACAAGCTTGAACTTCAGGTAGATGTGCATGTTATGTTTGGGAAAGTATGATATAGTACACTAGATCATGGAAGCAGTAGTCCCTTGGGTTATCATTGTACATTGAAATGATTGTGATTGGTGAGAGGGAGTGGGACCGACCAAAACCATATGTGATACTGACGGTGGGACCTACTCTTTCATCATGGTGTGCCCCTTCAATTGACTGTGATGAGCGAAAGGACAATAGTTCACTGGTTGTAATATTAATATGTTCTCCCTTTTGTTTTATTTCGTGGTCATCTTCTTGAGCATGTTTCTCACAAGTTTGTTTAGCTATGTGAAGTTGCATTTTTTTTTGTACTGTACACAATCCAATGTAGAAATTTGTGACAGGAAGGCATATCTCTTTTTAATCGAAAACCTCGCAAAGGAATTGAGTTTCTAATCAATGCCAAGAAGGTGGGTGATTCACCAGAGGAGATAGCTGATTTCCTGAAAAATGCTTCTGGCTTGAACAAGACTCTGATTGGTGATTATCTAGGGGAGAGGGAAGATTTATCATTGAGAGTCATGCATGCATATGTGGATTCTTTTGACTTTCAAGGGATGGAATTTGATGAAGCGATCAGAGTGTTCTTACAAGGCTTCAGGTTACCAGGAGAGGCACAGAAGATTGATCGTATAATGGAAAAATTTGCTGAGCGTTATTGCAAATGTAACCCCAAGGCATTCATTAGTGCAGACACTGCTTATGTTCTCGCATATTCTGTGATATTGCTGAACACTGATGCTCATAATCCCATGGTCAAAAATAAGGTCTGTCTTTTTTCTTTACCTTTTTCTTTGAACTGCTTAGTGACGTGACTTGTGAATGTAACTAAAAATGTATGCCTGATTGCAGATGTCACAGGAAGATTTCATTAGGAACAACCGTGGTATTGATGATGGCAAAGATCTACAAGAGGAATACCTTAGATCTTTGTATGACAGGATTACTAGAAATGAGATTAAAATGAAAGATGATGATTTAGCCGTCCAAAACAAACAATCCACAAATTCAAACAAAATTTTGGGTCTTGACAGTATCCTAAATATTGTTATTCGCAAAAGAGGGGAAGATAAACCAATGGAGACCAGTGATGGTCTTATCAGGCACATGCAAGAGCAGTTTAAGGAGAAAGCTCGCAAATCTGAGTAAGCTCTGAAGCTTAATGAAAATGAAAAGGGAAGTATACTATATTCCAGTGAACTATGGAAAAACAATAATCCGTTGGTCCATCACTGTCCAGTAAAATGATGGCCTGTGACCCTTGGATTATGTTTTGACGTTGTAAATTGCATTATAGTACACTTTCCCCAATGAAAAAGTTGGAGAAAGAAACTCTTCGCCATTACTGTTTGGTCTTTCCAAATGGTTTAGTGTACATACCGTGAGATCTTTGGTATCTGATATGTCATTGGCCCCACGTGTTAATCTGAATGGCAGCTTCTGAACCATTGTATATATGCATTGATAATTTCTTCATTTGCCCCTTAATATGAGTAAAATGCATTCCTTTTTGATTCTGCAGGTCGGCTTACTATGCTGCCACTGATGTTGTAACCTTGAGATTCATGATAGAGGTTTGTTGGGCTCCAATGTTGGCTGCATTCAGTGTTCCACTTGACCAGAGTGAAGACGATGTTGTGATTGCGCAATGCCTTGAAGGTTTTCGTTATGCAATACGTGTTACTGCAGTAATGTCCATGAAGACTCACAGGGATGCATTTGTCACTTCGCTAGCAAAATTCACCTCTCTTCACTCGGTTGCTGACATTAAGCAGAAGAACATTGATGCCATCAAGGTAGGAAAACTTCGCTGACTAGATCCTGTTTTTTTCATGTCTCTTTCGTTTTAGGGCTGTATGCAATAGAACTGCAGGAACTTCTCTGACTAGATCCCTTGCTTTCCACGTCTCTTTCTATTAAATACGGTATGCCATAGAACTGCAGGACCTTCTATGATTTGATTATTTTTCCGTTTAGCAAAGATGAGTAAACGAGATTTACGCACACCATCAATTGGTTTTGAGATGATTTATTAAGCGGACAATATTGCGTAGAAATATATCAAAAAGTGATTTATTTAGTTTCTTATGAAGTAATTCTTTTGCTGCTCCTAGGCTTATGTGGTGAGCTGGGTTGGAGTGAATAAGCCAATTTATTATTTTTGATTATTAAGGGTGAAACATTGGGTAGTGGAGAGAGAACTCATAGTGGGAGAAAGTAGAGAGCCATGAGAGATAATCAGAGACTTGGAGGAGAGCAGGTGGACTTATTTGCGAAGAGAGATCCTTAACAGCTATGGTTTTTTCTTTTACAGTGTATTAAATGGTATGAACGATTGAGAACCATTTTTCAAATTATTTTCTTGGAAAAGCTGGATTTTCCTTCTCGTAAAACTGCTTTTCCAGTGATTCACAGTGAAAAAATTGTTTATCAAGTGATTACAGTTAAAGAAAACCACTTATTGAGCTTTTTACATGGAAAGCACTCGTTATCACCCTTGAGAAGTCTCTCATTTGAGAGTTGTCACCTTGAAAAGTTTCTAAGGAGACCTGGCTTTGAGCTCAAACTGCTTCTTCAAAGATCGATTGAGCTTCTACAACTTCTGAGGTTCTGTCTAAGGTAGGCTTGTCTTGTTTCTTTTCAGTTTCCCTAGTTTCCCTGTGCATGAGGAGAGAGGGAAAAGTCGCCAGAACATAGTTGTTGGGATCGGGGGCATGGGACCGTGATAGTTTAGATGCCCCCTATGGTTGGTGGTGTTGTCCATACACCTAAATTTTAGGATCTTCATCCCAACATGTTCGGGAGCTGGATCCCAAATTTTTGGGATTGCATGATAAATTCTAAACATTGAAAACCCATTGATAAGAACATCTCTTTCCTCTTTGAAAAATATACAGAACATGATTTTGCGATATAATTACTTCCAATTTTTTATTGGATATGTGATTTATATCGATGGATCCCTAAGCTATTGGGATCCCCCCCTTATGGGAGCAAGATCAACACAAGTTCCAGCTCCTGGCGCGTGGGATCACTGGGATTGCCTACAAGTTGGGAGCTCCCAGTAACTATGCGCCAGCAAGTTTTCTCAGATGGGCGAAATTTCCAGCCAGGCCACTAGAAACCCTTGCAAGAATGCGCCCTTCAAGAAACCCACTTTTGTATGGATAGATGGGCAAATGTGGAAAATGCCTCTCCAACCGTTTTTAGCACATGAAATTTGGTTTTGATGGGCTTTTTTAAAACTACATAAAGAACTGAGTAAAATGTTAAATAGTTGAAATTGTTGGTGTGAATTGATAATTTCCTATATAGATAACTATACTTATAAGAATTATTTTAAATATAAATTATAAAATTTAGAATATAAGTAAACTAAATCCAGGACATACATAGTTCAATTTATCGATTATAGTTATAGAATTCGTATTACTACTATGTATTATAATATATTATTATATTTATTCTGATTATTATCCTTAATATATAAATATAACTTGAATTGGGATCTAACCGAGTTCAATTAAATAATTAGATTAGAATGATAGCATTCATTTATTCATTCTTTTTTAATGATATAATAAATTATTATAATGTAATTGTAATGATAATCTTAAAAGAAAAAAGAAATTGTAACGTGATGCAGACTTGGGTGTTTCTTCAAGATTTGGCTCTTGAAAAAAATAAAGTAACAAAATTAAAATAAATAAATAAATGAAAAAGAAATTTATATTCTATTCTAGAATATCTAGGGTTTTTCTAGGCTACACTAGTGAACTTAGAATTTCCTACTCCGAAACTTTTAACGATAGAATCACTTTACAAATCTAAATTTACATTAGCAATAAGTTGTTTGAAAGTTTTGAATTGGGGTATATTTCTAATTATAAGTTGATTTGAAACTTCAATCATTATTAAAAAAATTCAAAGAAATCTTTTTGAATTTGAAGTTGATTTTTCGTGGGGCCACAAATTATCCTTAAAAATTTTAAAAGTATTACTTGTCTGGGAATTAAAAAAAAGGGTATTTGTATAATTAGAAGTGCCTCCAAAATTCAAAGTTCTGAATATGATTCATAATGTCAAAGGAAACATTTTATATTTGGAGTTTGATTTTTGGAGGGTTTCTAAAATAAAAAAAATACACTTTCCACTTTTAGAAGAGGGACTAGAGGTAAATTTAACACTTTTGGAAATGAAGTTTGAATTTTAATGCGGTTCGCTGACCTGTGATTTTCTCACGTGTGATTTAATGTGGTTCTCTGACCTGTGATTTTCTCACCTGCGATGCTCTCCTACTATTTAGGACTGGTTCAAGAATTATCTTTGACACCTCTATCTTCAAAATAAAAGCAATATAAAGGGTATATTGTAATCAAATTTTAGGAGTAGTACTTTCTAACATCACCATTGGAATGGTGTATTGTGGAAAACCCATACATGCATGCGCACATACACATGTAATGGATTTTATAATGTCAACATGGTTAGGTCCTATCGTGGTTGACCTTAACATTAAAGGAGAGTGTTAACATTACACTTGCTAAAGTGTCCTTGTTTTTTAAAAGTATGTTAACACTTGCTAGAGTGTTAACATTACACTAACTCTTTTTTTTTTATCGGTCTAAGAAGGTTGAGGACCTTAGACTTTTCCTTAACCCATCCCAAGGGTGGATTGTGATAGGTAGGCAATGAATGTAAAACTTTGCCAAAACTTCTCATGGATCCAAAATTGGCCTCACTGAGGGTATGACCCTTAACAAAGTAGAATGGTATACCAGGATTCGTGTAGCCTACTTCAATTAATTGGAAAAAGGTTTTGATGATGTTGATGATGCTATTTACTTTTTATAGGTGTTTGTGTCAATTTGTACATGCAATGATAATATTTGTATAAATATTCTTGTAAAGACCACTTGTGCCCTCACAATAGGGGCAAATGCCCCTAAAAAGTGAACACGCTATGAGAAATTAAGGTTTTCAATAAATATAACAAACACTCTTGTTTAATGCTCACTTCTCTATAACTTATTCATGTTGAAATACAAACACTCGTGTGCGTGTGTGTGCATGTGTGCATGTACCTATATATATATGTTTGTGTGTGTGTGTGTATGCGGAAAAGTTTATATACACCTCAAAAATCCTTTAGGAAAGAGTGTTCGGAAGGTTGGAAAACCTTGTAATTCATCACCTCGACCTCAAGAAATATAGATATAATGAAAAAAAGATTTTCAAGTCCGAAGAATAATACATCTTGTACAATTTGTAAAAAAAAAAGGGAATAATACATCTTGTACAATATATATAAAAAAGGAATAATACATCTTGTAACAAGTTATCTTGAACATCTATTTTCATGATTTTCAAGTTCTTATAGATCTGTTCAATCTGTATGGTTTTTAAATTCTAAATTTCATAATTAGGGTTAAGCATAGATTTTCCAGCCATCATCAAACCTGAACTACACCTTTTGACAAAATTTAGAGGTAAGCCTTCTTGTATGGTATAAGGTGGGCACCTTATACAAACCTCACCCACCCACCCACACACACACACACACACACACACACACACACACACACATCTTATATATTAACTTTAGTATATGATATGTTTGTCTTTAGCCATAATGGTTCTCAGGTGAAGACAAGGAGTATTAGGAACTCTATTTTTTATCATCATCTCGCTATATGGCTCTCTTTAATCATTGTCACATTTTTCTATGAATTTTGGTTAGAATATTCTATGTTTAATTAGCTATTCTCACAAAAAAAAAGAAAATCTCCTATATGTTCAAATTGGAAATCTAATATGTGATATAGCTGACTTGGGTAACCTAGAATTTTGCAAATCCAGTTCCTTATTAAGTTAGAGTTTCAAGTGATTCTTCTTCTTTGTACATCGCACCATTTGCCTACATTTCATTTTGTCTTAAAAGCGTGATTTTACATGCAGACACTTATCACAATTGCTGATGAAGATGGCAATTACCTACAAGAAGCTTGGGAGCATATATTGACATGTGTTTCCCGATTTGAACATTTGCATCTCTTAGGAGAGGGTGCTCCTCCTGATTCCTCATTCTTTGCTCTACCTCAAAATGACCTAGAGAAGTCCAGACAACAAAAGTCTACCATCCTTCCTGTGCTGAAAAGGAAGGGACCTGGGAAGCTTCAATATGCGGCTGCGGTGGCTAGAAGGGGTTCCTATGATAGTGCAGGTGTTGGTGGGGTTGTTACTACTGAACAAATGACCAATCTGGTTTCAAATTTGAATATGCTGGAGCAAGTTGGAAGTTTTGAAATGAATCGCATATTTACACGGAGTCAGAGGTTGAATAGTGAGGCTATAATTGATTTTGTGAAGGCCCTCTGCAAGGTATCAATGGAGGAATTACGATCTACTTCTGATCCACGGGTTTTCAGTCTTACAAAGATTGTTGAGATTGCGTAAGGATTTTCTCTGACCTTGCATCTTTGCTGCACAGTGTAATTTCTCTTTTCTTCTCATCTATCAAGTGATAGAAAACAAAAATATTTACTTCTCTTTTGTGTTCGTTTTGTGCTGAAACTATGACTGTTCTCCCTACCTAGTGGGAATAGTGCCTAAGTTGCTCTGAGCATAACTCTTGATCCTCTTTCCCAAAAAATAACCCCTAATCTTATTTGGCCAGGCATTACAACATGAATCGTATTAGACTAGTGTGGTCAAGCATATGGCATGTGCTTTCAGATTTCTTTGTCACCATTGGATGTTCTGAGAACCTTTCAATTGCGATATTTGCAATGGATTCTTTACGTCAGCTGGCGATGAAATTCCTGGAGCGGGAAGAACTGGCCAATTATAATTTCCAGAATGAGTTCATGAAACCATTTGTAATTGTCATGCGTAAAAGCAGTGCCATTGAAATCAGGGAATTGATCATTCGATGTGTTTCTCAAATGGTTTTGGCCCGTGTCAATAATGTTAAATCTGGATGGAAGAGCATGTTCATGGTATGCATTTCTACTTAATCCCGAGGCTAAATTTTATTTATGATTTTCTTGAATTCATTTTCTCACATCATTTGCTCTGGTTATTTTGATGATATGATAAGCCATTCCCCTTATCGCTTTTCTTGTCAATTGATTTACAGGTCTTCTCAACTGCAGCCTATGATGACCATAAAAACATTGTTCTTATGGCCTTTGAGATAATTGAGAAAATTGTTCGTGACTACTTTCCATACATTACAGAAACGGAAACCACCACTTTCACAGACTGTGTGAATTGCTTGATTGCATTCACCAATAGTAATTTGAACAAAGATGTAAGCCTTAATGCTATTGCTTTTCTTCGGTTCTGTGCGGTGAAGCTTGCAGAAGGGGATATTGGTTCAACTGCAAAGAACAGGGACAAGGAAGTTTCTGCAAAGAGTGGTCTTACTTCACCTCAGAGTAAAAAAGATGGAAAAGTAGAAAGTCTCCGGTTTACCGACAAAGATGATCATCTCTATTTCTGGTTTCCTCTGTTGGCAGGTATTATTGTTAACCTTGGAATCCCCTTGGAAATTTTTTCCGGAAGATTCATTTCTTGTAAGCTGGAAGTCACAATTGTAATGGAGACTGTTAATTGTTTTGTTTGATTGAAAGGATAGTTTGCTATGCCAAGTGACACATGATTGTCTTGTATCTTCGCAGGATTATCAGAACTTAGCTTTGACCCAAGGCCTGAGATTAGGAAAAGTGCCTTACAAGTGCTTTTTGATACATTGCGAAACCATGGTCATCTTTTTTCATTGCCATTATGGGAGCGAGTCTTTGATTCAGTCCTGTTCCCTATCTTTGACTATGTCCGTCATGCCATTGATCCTTCTGGGGAAACTTTGCAAGTACATGGTGTAGACAGTGATGGAGATGAGCTAGACCAAGATGCCTGGCTCTATGAGACATGCACATTGGCCCTTCAACTAGTTGTTGATCTCTTTGTTAAGTTTTATGATACAGTCAATCCACTGTTGAAAAAAGTGCTTTTGTTACTTATTAGTTTTATAAAGCGCCCTCATCAGAGCCTTGCTGGCATTGGTATAGCTGCATTTGTTCGATTAATGAGCAATGCTGGGGGTCTGTTTTCTGAAGAGAAGTGGCTTGAGGTGGTCTTGGCATTGAACGAAGCAAATACTGGAACTTTACCTGATTTTAAGCGAATCTTGTATGAAATGAACGTTTTGAGTGGGTCTACTGACACTGGAGATTCTTCTATGAGGTCTGGTAATGAAGGTTCTTCTGATTCAGCTACTCATGGTGATGAGACGGATGGCGTGAAAGCACGCCGCCTCTATTTTGCCATTACTGATGCCAAATGCCGCACAGCTGTTCAACTTTTGCTGATTCAGGTAAATTACTAATATTATAGCTATTTTCTTCATGCCTTTTTTTTTTTAATGAAAGCGAAGACTTTGCTTCGTGTGAAATATGCCATTCAAGTCTAAGTGACTTCCTTGTTTTGGATCTTAATGTAATCCTCAATTGACTAAAATTTTGTTCTTAAATTTCTTTCTAGTTTTCAAGTAGTGAGGTTTTAGAGTGATACCTACCAAAAAAAGGGTTTTCAGAATGATGTTCATGTAGTCTAGTTGTTATTCACTTGCAAATTACAATTTTCTCATGGTTCTTGCATATTGCAATATTGGAATCCCTTTTTGTATGGTAATGTCGTAATGACTCTAAGTTAGTGCCTGAACAGTTTCTCTTCAGGTAACAAACATCCATTTATTTCAAAATTGGGCCTCATCCATGGCTCTAGTCGGCCATTGGTATTCCCCAATTCAAGTCCCACATCAGACATGGTTCTTTCTTTCTTTTTTTTTTTTTTTTTGGACATACTAAAATGGCAGGAATGGATTATGTTGATGTCACATTTTGGCTCTGCCACCCTGACCACCCAGGCCTTGTTCCTGACACAATTCTTTCTTCGTAATCCATGATCTAGTTTTTTCTTGGATGTCTATATATTTATGACTCCGAGACATACAGTCACATTTTATCTTTTTGATGTATAAATTCTTTAAGTGATAGTATCCCACACACAATTTGGGGAGAGGCTAAGTGTTCAGGTGCATTTTTGACTCAAAGAAAATCACCTGGTATGGCAAATGAAATAGTTTATGTAAATATGGAACATGGAACTATACCACAGCCGTACCATTGTTAAAAGGAAAAAAGCCTAGGGGTTTGGACCCTCAAGAGCATTTGTATGAGACCACAAATTTGGTGTATATGATGGCATACCTCAACGGTGGCTTGCCAAATGCAATGCGTAGAGTTGATTGATCAAATGGGCTTCTGATATGGTATCTATTGCAAATTTGTCAAAATCACGGGAACCCAGCACAGATGATCGTGGAAGTCCCAAGCCAGCTTAGATCATGGGATCCTCATAATTTGGGGTAAAGGACTCCTCACAGGAAAATGTCAAAGTTTGGAAGCCTCTATGATGTGAAACGGATGAACATAAGGTTCAAAATGGAGCTCAGTCAAATCCCAATCAAACGGATACCCATTCGCGGCTCCCAAACTTTAATCTAGGGTACCATGAAGGTGCCTCTCAAAAATCAGGTCATTCCGATTTTGGATGACGAAATATGGGCTCGTAAAGATGGAATTCACTGAGGAAGCGCAGTTTAAAGCCAAAAATAGGGAAGTAAAGGAGCCCCAAGATTTTGGTGTCCGAAGAATCCAAATTTTGTGAGAAGGTAGGTAGTCCCCTAAAAAGCTACTATGCAAAATTTAGGCGTAATCCGATACCCAGAAGTGCCATTTTCGAAGTGATCTTTGATAACACACCAAAGGTCCGCCGCCTTTTAGCATAAAAGACTACACTGGCTGTGGTCCGTAATAGTGGCGAAAATCAGCAAAGTGGTGAGTTTATTTGACCCTAAAGTTTTGATCATATCTCCCAAACCCCGAATCCACATGAGCTCAAATTTGATATGTTATTCTTGACTCAAAGAGCTTACTATCCACACACTCGAGCGCACACACACGCACACACAACACACATAGAAACACACAAATATATATATACACACACACACACACAACACACACGTGCATACACATAGAAACACACACAAATATATATATATACACACACACACACACACACGCAACACACACGTGCATACACATAGAAACACACACAATATATATATACACACACACACACACAACACACGTGCATACACATAGAAACACACAAATATATATATACACACACACACAAATCATTGTTAGATTGAATCAATAAAGTCATCATCATCGTCATGATGTCATCAAAGCCCTTTTCCAACTAATTGGGGGTTGGCTACACGACCTGGTTCGCCATTCTGTTCTTTTAAGGGCCATACCCTCAGTGAGGCCATAAGTCCCCATATAGTTTTTGACGACGTCAGGCCATGTCGTTTTGGGCCTACCTTTTACCCTTTTTGATCCTTCCATTGGAACTAACTAGCATCTCTTAACATGTCCTATATTGGGTCTGTACCGCACATGGCCAACCTACCTTAGTCTACTTTCTCTCATCTTAGCACTTATTGGTGCTACCCCTGAATTCTCTCGAATGTATTCATTTCGAATTTTATCCCTTCTTGTCTTGCTACTCATACATTCTCATCTCAATTACACTCATTCTTTGGGTATGTTGTTTCTTGACTGCCCAACATTCCGCCCAATAAAACAAAGCTGGTCTCGCAGCTGTCCTATATAACTTGCCCTTCAACTTCATTGATATGCAATGGTTACATAGAACTCCGGTTGCACATCTCTACTTTGCCCACCCAACTCTAATTCTATGTGCGACATCTTCCTCAATCTCTCAATTTCTTGGATTTGAATCAATAAAGTATGAGATCAAAAGTGTTTGTGTTGCAGTCCCTACAACCTAGATCCACATTTTGTTTAATGTCTCACAATCCATGTGAATTTTTAAACTGAAATTTTACTGATATGATCCTTACTCAACCCCATAAACATCAATGTAACTTGTTGAGGTGTTTAAACCCAGATTTGGTATCGAATTGATGCTTGAAATTGACTAGAAAAGGGGGACTGCTGAATCTTGAAAGATGGGTTAATAAAATGATCACAATTGATTTGATTGTTGGAGTTTTTGAGCCAAGTTAATTCTCAAATGCTCCAACATTGATTTCCCACAACTTTGTGGAGTCAGGTCAAAATTAGGGAAGAGCATAAAAGTTCATAATGTTTTACTCCAAATGCACAAATATGATTAGACTCCCTCAGATATTGGAGTTTTTGATTCAAAAGTTCAAATTTGTTGCAAAATGTTCCTAGATGAGTATTCTACAAAATTATGGAGTTAAAACAATAAAAAACTGCTGGAAAGGCCATGAAATAAGTGGTGGATTGGATGAGGACATGGAAACCCAAGTTCTCCAAGGACAAATGGTGATATTTTCTCAACTTTGGGTACAACAAACTTTCCCTTTGTGAAAAGCTCGAAATGGATTTTGATTAGCCACCCATATTTCAGTCCCAAAATTGAGCATCCATGCATGTTTGAAAAGTGTTCTTTAAGTACCCCTTAGCCCCTCACTTGTAAGAGGTTAAAGAGGTTATAGAGAGAAATAAAGGTTAGAAGGTTAAGAGTCATGTGGAGGCTTAGAGAGTTTTTTAATTTCATTTAGGGAAAAAATATGATATTTTAAAGCCATTTAGGAAAAAAATGCCTGTCCTTTCTCTTTCTTCCTCTCCTTGGTTGTTCTCAAAATGCTCCTCTCTAAACACCTCTGTCTTCTCTTCATCTCTCTCTTCGCATTTTCTGGCATGCTTACTCTCTCCTTTATTTTCTAGCTTTCTACCTATACTGTCCATTTGTTTTCAGCCATTATCATGGTTCTTCTTGGTGGTGAAACCAAAACCACATCATCTGCTCCATTTTCACTCTCTTAAGGGGAGTCTCTCTTTCTGTCCTCTCTCAAATAACCAACCATATTGCCCTGTACTGTAACAGGGGTCACTTTCTTTGGCCTCCCCCTTATGATAAGTTGGAGCATCTTTATTGATCATCATGATGTCAATGACTGAGAATACTGGATCATTTGAAGCCCTAGAATTGCCAGGAAATTGAGAGTTAAGCGGATGGAGTTGCTCCAGTCTTTGGTTTCTTAGTTTTTCTCCCTCTTTTTCTTGATGGTTCTTGCACTCTAGCGAATAAAAGGGAGTTTTGGGGAAATGGGGTTGTCTCACTAGGTTTTACACAATATTCAACCTAAAAACAATAAATTTTAAATGAGCTTTTGAAGATCTTGAGAGAGAAATGTGGAAGTAGGTTTGATTCATTTGGTGGAAAGAACATATTTCCAGCAGAGGGTGATGTTGGCCATGAAGGCTTGGGAATCAAATGGCTGGAGCTAATGGAAAAACTGTCAAGAGAAGTTGATACATTGCTGCAACTGCAACCTCTGATGAGGTTTGGGAAGGGAAAGTATGCTAATTTGCCAGTAAATACTTCAAAAAAAAAAGAAGAAGAAAAAGGTATGCCAATTTGCCAGAAAATTAGGGCAAACTGGCGAGACTGTCGATTTCATGAAAATATGGGACAGGCAAAGCATGCTGGAAATGGAAGAGGAAGAGGGGAGAGAGAAAGAGGTTTAGAGCGAAGCGAACCAAGGGGAAAGAGAGAAAGGAGGGGCATTTTTGTCCTAAATGCTTTAAAATTCACAAGTTTAGGGGTTGGGGTTTAGGGGATCATGCAAAGAAAAATAGTGACAGTATTTGGTGAGAAGCAAATTTTAGTGGGGAGTCCTACTTGTAGATTCTTTTGGATGGGATTTTATGTAATTTTCCTTTTTCAAATCAAATCGGATTGAAATCACTTGATTGGTATTGTTATCTGTTGTCTGAAACTTGTTCGTGAAACAGATTTGAAAACCCCTTCTTGTATTCTGTTTAAAATAGGATTCAAATTTGCGATTAAAATAGGATTTGAAATCAATGGCAATTAAGCTTGCAGCGAAATTTGGGCTGACTTTCCCCTGTTTGACATGAAATTGAGCTTTCTCCAATATCTTGGGGCTGAATTTCATAACAGTTTGCGGCTGATTTTCACTATTTTAGCAAAAGTTCAGCTTTTGCCATTTTGGGGACTTTGTGACAATAAATGAGTTTTTCGAAATCAGATTTAAGCTTCCTGATGTTCAGTTGCCTGCTGATTTTCCTTCACAAGAGCCCCAAAACATCACTCACATTTTGGGGCTGAATCAGATTTCTACCACATGGTGCGTCTCAGTCTACATTTACTGCTTTGGTGTGCTGCTTTCTGCTTTCGTTCTTCTTTTTGCTTCAGCTTTGGTCTATGTTCTGTTGAGCTTTA